CCATCGTATCGATTCTTTTTCTACTTGAACTTGGCAGGCGGGGGATCGAAGGTGCCTACCTGAGGTACCTACCTACGGTACCTACCTAAGGTGCCTACCTGAGGTACCTACATACATGTACAGACCATGGTGACTAAGCACGACGCCGCGCGCCCAACAAGTAAGTCACTGGTGAACTCGGATGAACTATGAACTCTGAACTCTGAACTCTGAACTCTGAACTCTGGAGTCGAACCCTTCGAGTCTGGCCTCGCTCATCCAACCCCTTTCATCGAGTAAATCGCTCTCGCCGTCACTGGCGCCCTCGCCGTCTGGCTTGGGCACCGCAGCATCGATGCTTCCTCATCAGCGATTGGATCGCAAAAGTGTATCATCCGCCGTACAACCCGCACACTACCTGTTCGTCTCAACATGGGCAAACTCAGCCTCAGCCCATCTAGGATTAGCCGCCGTGCTTCCCACCGATCTGGACCTCAAGGACGCCTGTCTCTGGGGCTGGCTGGGGCTGAGGACACGCCCGGTTCTATCGCACGCGCTGCTGAGATGCCTCCCTACTGGCCTGGCCTGCGCGCGCTGGCGACCGTAGAGCGACCGTAAACCGATGAACCAGACAGCCTTACCGACCGCCGAACGTAGCTGCCTGCGGTCGTCTTCCACACCATACACCCTGCCTCGCCTTGCTGACCTCGTGCCAAGAAGGAACGCCGATGGGGTAGTTCCCTGACGGCTGGCTGGTGCTGCCTGCTGACCCTCAAAATTGCTCCGACCTGCTGTGACCTGCTGTGACCTGGAACTTCCACCAGCTGGCTCACATCATCACGCTCTTCCGAAATGACGGTACCGTGACCATGGCTCAATATGGCGAGCCACCAACCGCAAGCCGGCCAAGTCAGTGGCTGGCACATCGCGTTTCCAGCATCTCCGACATGAGCGATGTTGAACCGAGACATCACGACAGTGCTTCGCCGCTGGAAACGGGCCACTTGGTATATCCCGTTCCTTCCATGACGCAATCGAGATGGACTACGACTCCCTACACAGGCGCCCAACGACCTGCGACATCGCACAGCGCGCATAGCATCCTTCCAGCGGCTTCGCTGCGCTCGAAGCCGACGTCCGCAGAACGCGCTGACGAAGATGGATATGACCTCTCACTCCTGGCGGCTGCGGCGCCCCTGGGCCATACAGACGACGACAATGACTCAACGCCCCAATATGAACCAACGGAGGAGGCGTACGACCTGACGTCCATGATCGGGCCATTTAGCTCCCAAGGCGACGCTTTCCTCCGAAACCTACAGCGGCAAGAAGCAAACGGCCAGCTAACTCGTGGCCTCGGCGCGGGCTTCAAGCCCAGCACTACCCTCACCGGCGACGAACTCATGTCCCCCGTGGCAACGTCGCCGAGAGGCCTGTTGCGATCTTTCTCACGTCGCCAACCGCAGCTCGATCGTGCCACGAGCATCAAGGTCCTGGGCCAGAACGAAGCCAACCGACGAGGCGAGGTCATCGAGGTCATCATGGAAGAGAATCCAGCCTCTGAAGTCGACATCAGCGGCTTGACGGGACCAAACGCCCTCACTGATCGTGTCGATGCCATGCGTCAAACGACGTTTCCCGCCAAACGGGGCGAGGCCCAGGTCTTCTACCCACAGCCCAACTGGAAGCCATTTTCCATGCGGTGGCCGTACCTCGTCGCGCTCATCGTCTTGTCTATCGGACTGGCCGTCATGGAGGAGCTGCTCTACCGCCAATCCCATCGCAATCCTTTGCTGAGCTTCGTATCACCTTCTGACCTGCCGGCAGGCCAATACTTTGCCTTCAAGTTTGCGCCGACCCTGCTCTCCGTCTTGTACGGAGTGCTCTGGCAATTTGTCGGCATCGAGGTCAAGCGCCTTGAAGCCTTCTACCAACTGTCGAAGGAAGGCGGCGCCCTGGCCGCCGAATCCATCAACGTCGACTATATAACGAGCCTCAACTGGTGGCGACCCTTCCAAGCCATCAAGCTGAGGCACTGGGCTGTGGCCGTCAGCTCCGTCGCCACCTCCCTGGCCGTTTCTCTCGTGCCCACCTTTGGGGCCGCCTCCATCATCCTGTCTCCTGGCCGCACAGAGCGAATGGCGCATCCCGAGGAGGAAAAGGAGATCTTGGTCGATGGGCTGTGGTCGAGGCTTCTCGTCTCCACGCTTTGCGTCTGTGCTTTTTGCGGCTGCGTGCTTCTTTACATTTTGCACACTCGAAGATCGGGCCTGCTGGCAGATGTTCAGGGCATTGCCGGCCTTGCGTCCATGGCTGTTGTCAGTCACATTCTCGTCGATTTTGCCGATCTCGACGTTGTCAGCCACGACGACATTCATGCCAAGCTCAAGCATCGTCGCTACGTTCTTCGCAACGCATCGCTTGCGCCAGATGACGAGACACCCGTCACCTCCCGAGATCGCACCAGATACCAGGACGCCCACCTCTCCAAGAACCCGCACCCCGGCATGTTGCGGCCCTCGGGTTTCGGCAGCTTCGCCCTCGCCGTTTTGCTCGTTCTCGGCTTCATCCCCATCTTCCTCTTCACGCCCGCCAGCGCCATAACAGACAAGGCGCCATGGCTGGTCACGGCCCTGGCCGTGTGCATCAAGCTCGCCTGGGGCACGCTCGACACGGACGTCCGCATGATGGAGCCGTACTATATCCTCTCGCGACGGCACGCCCCGCCCTCCGTCCTCACGCTGGACTACACCTCCGTGCCCTTCGGTCTGCTCCCCGTCCGCGCCGCCCTCAACGGCCACTGGCTCGTCTTTTTCGTGGGTTTCGGCTCCATCATGGCCGAGATACTGACCGTGCTCGTCACGAGTCTCGCCACCGTCCAGGGCAGCGACTTTATCCGCCTCGTCATCCCCGGCAAGACAAACGACGACTCGAAGCACATCCAAGCCGGCCAGGAGACGAAGCTCTCCTTTTGGGTCTCGTTTGGCCTCGCAACGTTCATCCTCGTCTACATGCTCGTCGTGTCGGCGTTTGTCTTCGTGCGACGGCGCCACCCGTTCCTGCCGCGGCAGCCCAACACGCTGGCGAGCGTGCTGGCGTTCATACACCAGAGCAAGATGATTTGGGGGTTCGTGGGCACCGCCAAGCTGGACCACAAGGGCATGGTGCGACACCTCGCGGCGCGGGAGCAGCAGACGTACGGCCTCGGCCGGTTCGTCGGCCGGGATGGGCAGACGCACTGCGGCGTCGACGAGGAGGAGCTGCTTGGTGGGTACAAGCACGGGTCGGCCTTTCAGGGTCCCAACCAGCCGTGGGACAGGCAGTGGGATGCATACGAGTAGGCCGTCGAGCGTGTTGTTTATTTCGGGATTGGAGCACGTCTGGCATAGAGTTTCATCTGGCGTTAGGGTCGACTGTCAAAAGTAATCATGGTGTCTTTGGTCGGGCCGGTCCGACTAGAAATACAACCGCGTTGAGGAGGTGATGAATGTTCATTCTTCGTGTGTATCTCTCACAAAGGTCATTTCGCACGCCAATGCATTCACACAACTGGTCTTCTCGAGCGATGTAGCAACACTCCTAGCCAGATGATTCGCCGGCTCCCAATCCCGTAGCCGCCCCCGCCCGCACATCAAGGCAGGGCGATAGCCTCAATCTCGACATCGACATTCAACGGCAGCGTCCTGACGGCGACACAGCTCCGCGCCGGCTTGTGCGTGAACCACTGGGCATACTCCTCATTCATCTCCTACGAGGGCGTCAGTCGCGCACTTTATCGCAAGACCAACTCGGAGGCTTCGGGGGGTTTGGTACTCACAGCAAAGTAGGCCATGTCGGCGAGGAAGACGTTGACCTTGACGACCTTGTCGATGGAGGAGCCGGCCTCGGTGAGGACGGCGCGCAGGTTCGTGATGACCTGGCGCGTCTTGTCGGTGATGGAGCCGGTGACGAGGGCGCCGTCGGGCGTGGCGGGGATCTGGCCGCTGAGGAAGATGGCGAAGGGCGTCTTGATGGCTTGGGACTGCGGGAGGTGAGTGGGCCTGTGAGGGGTGCTTTGGTGGTGACGGATGGGAGGAGTCACGTACGAGGGGGATCTGGTCGACTGAGGTGGGCAGAGCAGGTCAGTCAGGTGAATGTCCGTGCATGGATTCTGACGACGGAGACATACCGGGAGGGGCCTCCTTCGTGTGGACGACGCTGTAGCCAGACATGGTGTCAGAGCGTTGGTGAGGGGACGCTTGCGTTGGGTGAAATGAAGTTCAGAAGGGTGGGATAGCGGTGTTGGCGGTTGGATTGACATCGCGGCAATGGGCATGAGCCTTTATGTGCATTGCCTTTATGTGCATTGCCTTTCTAGTGCATCGCCTACATGGTGCATCGCCTACATGGTGCATCGCCAGACGATGACCCCAACGAGGAGGCCTGACCCCATCTACGGCAGCGATCATGCATGGCTACGCCCTTGGCTTCACCAATTGTGGGGGATGGGGCCCAGACGACAGGAGAACGGCTTAGCAATCGAGCGGATTGCTGTCAGTCCAGCTCTGCGTCGACCGTCGTGTCGGTCCCGTTTGTCAGCAGATCGCGGGGTTGATGGCGCACATCTGGCGAGCACACGGGCCCGTGCCACGACGACCGGGAGCTCCGTTGTTCGGGGCGGGTATCACCGGCCTTTCCTTCCCTGCGTATCTTGCGCCCTACCATCGACCACTCACTCACCTGGGGCGTACCTTCCAGCACTCGGAAACGACATCGTGCCTTCTTCGCAGCCGGTGAGCCAAAGGTCTACGCCGCTACTTCGGTGCCATTCTTGAGCCATTGGCAACTATTCCTGAGCCATTCGCAACGTCCGGCGGTATTCCCGCACGATAGCGTCTCACGTTGTGCATGACTCATCACGTGGACGACTCACCTCGACCTCGATATAGAAGGCGAGCAGTGTCCTGCCCCCTTCCAAGACGTAGACGTCAAAGACACACAGGATCCCCTTGCCATCTACCCACCCCACACAGGCGCCCACCATGTCCCTCGATTTCGTCACCCTCGACGTCTTCACGACGACGCCCTACCAGGGCAACCCCCTCGGCGTCGTCCATCTGCCCCACGACAGGCCCATCACGCAGGCGCAGAAGCAGGCCATCGCCCGCGAGTTCAACCTCTCCGAGACCGTCTTCCTCCACGACGTCGACCCGGCCAACGACCCGGACCCCACGACCCGCCGCATCGACATCTTCATGACCAAGGGCGAGCTCCCCTTTGCCGGCCACCCGACCATCGGCGCCGCCGCCTACCTGCGGTCCCGCGGCGTCACGACCCTCGTCACCAAGGCCGGCCCCATCCCCATCACGGCGGGGCCCGAGGCCGGCGTCGTCTATGCCGCCATCCCGCACGACGTGCACCTCAACTCGCGCCGGCTGCGGGACCACGACGAGGCGGCGCTGCGGCCCGGCAGCCTCCACGCGACGCCTGCCATTCGGAGCGCCGAGCTCGCGGCGCCGCTGTTCAGCATCGTGAACGGCATGACCTTTTCGCTCATCAGGCTGCCGGGGCTCGAGGCGCTGGCTCAGGTGAGCCCCGGCCGGTTTTCTGTGGCGGCGGGTGACATCATGGACGAGGGGTGGCACGAGACGTTCATTGGACGGTATTACCACGTCATCACTGGCACCGGCGTCGGCGCAGACGGCACACGCACGGTCAGGCTGCGGACGAGGATGGTCGAGGACGAGATTGAGGACCCGGCGACGGGGTCGGCGGCATGTGCGCTGACCAGCTACCTCGCGCTGCACGAGTATGAGGAGAGGGAGGTCAGGTTTGAGGTGACCCAGGGTGTCGAGATGGGAAGACGGAGCGATATCGGGGTCGTCGTCAAGGTGGCGGTCGGTCGGGACGGGCAAAGGATGGTGGAGGGCGTGCAGCTGGGCGGTCGCGCCGTCGAGATCATGAGGGGAGCGGTACGGGAGCCAACCACTTGTTGAATGTGGGACAGTGGGTTGAGCTTGTCATTGGGGTAGGCGTTCTATGCTTGAAAGCCTCGTTGGGTCTACATGGGGGTGTTTTCTGGGGTGTTTTGGGGTGACTCTGTTGACGGGTGCTTACTTGTGGGGGTGTGATTGGAGCTGGGAGGTGGTCCTAGCCACATCGAATGATCGTTTTACGAAGTAGGATGGGTAAGTTTTCACACCCATAGGTATCTGCCAGCTGCCCAGGGCTCTGCGAGCCCAGAAAGAAACCAAAAAGAAACCGCCGGAGGGCGAAGGGTTGAAAATTTTGGCCTTGTACTACCTGATGTACATGTAGGACGATTCCTCGAGCGCCCTTTCGCGACCTTTTTGGCTGCCCAGCCCATTGCTAGGTACCTATCGTACTGGACGGTGAAATATTGCTGCACAGCCACTAGGACCAACGTGCCGTGCCGGATGTGCTATTTTGTGCTTCGTCACAAGAAGTATCATGGGTGCGCCTCGGTCCTCGATATGGAACATGAGAACAAGGCAAAGTCCCAAGAAGTTGGGAATTGCACTGAGCAATCCTGACTTAGAACAGGACCGTCAGTTTCTACAGCTAACCCGTATCTCCAAGGATAATCGCCTCGACCAGACCAATACCACAATACAAGCAATGGCGCCGGCGCCCCAATCCAAGAATCTGTGGAGCATGACGGCCAGTGCAAGCAACACCACCATCGTGCTGCCACCCCAAGATGAGGCGCCAACTCCGGACCTGTTCACGATCACAATTGGAATCGTGGGCCTCTTCCTAACTATTGCCACCATTACCATCGCGTGGCGCCAGTATCTCCAGCAGCGGCACCCTGCGCTCCCCCCGGCTCGCACCACCATAGCGCTCAATGATATGGCTGGCCAGGTGCCGGCGACGCCCTCATCGCCTATCCAGAACGATACCCGTCGAGTGGATCACCCCTCTTCCGAGACTAGCCTGCCGACCTTCAATCGGTGAGCCTTTCCCGCTATCACAGCATGGGAAAATCAATCCTGATATTCAGCAGAACGCCCGACGAGCACCAGAGTGATGACAACGAGTGAAACGCGGCAGACGGGGCCGGCGGGTGGAGCCGGTGGGTGGGACCGACTGGCTTCCGCCGATGAACCCGCCGGCCAGCATAGCGCTACGGGAAACTGCGCCCCACTTCGGGCCGCTCAATCAAATCTACGGTTGCCTTGCCGCAGCACCTTGTCGATGCCAAATTCGATAGCGAGTACGAAAGTCATGCGACCCCCTCACCCAGTCGTTTCTTGTTCTTCTTACATATACACAACCTGTCGGTCGCCCGGATTTATGTACAACGACTGGCCATCTCGTGAACCAAGCTGGCCTGAGCGGCAAAAGACGCGTCAGGAACTGGGTGCGGAAACGGGGAGCCAACTGATCACACGTCGATCACGATACCTTTGCCATGCCCCAACGTGGGGAGTCTCATTTGTAGTGAACATTATTTTTTGTACTGTAGGATACGTTTGATACAAAGTCTTTTCCTGTCACACGCAGTTCGCTCAATGCCAGCATCTAGCCTCCGGCCGGCACAACACAGGTGGCATGAGCCACTGTATCTTGATCTGAAAACCAACTTTGACGTGCATTATTGACACTGGATCCCTGGCCTAGTGCGGCACCGTGAGCACGCGTCTGCATCGCACCTGCATGCGACCACACAGCCGACCAAGGTCCTGGTGAGACGTAGCACTGGGATTGAGTTCTCCCGAAGAAAGGCTCGGTCACACCTAGACGGGGTCCTTGTGGGCCAGCCCTGCCAGCCTCGTAGCGCGAAAGAGTCGACCATAATCAACGTGCAGATGTGGCTCGAGTGCACCTTGAGCAGACTTTGACGCTCCAGAGCAGACGGTCGGGGATGCAGGTTTGACTTGCTCATGTCTGGCGCCATGGGGGTTGAGCCGTCATGACGTCGTGTGTAGCACCAAGCGGCAGCAGCAATTGACAGCAGCAGCGACAAAGCGTCATGGCGCCGTGCCAGGGCAAACCAGGGGGAGTCTACAGAAGCCGTCGCCGCTGGGCACGCGTTCATCATTGGATGCTCTCCTCCTGCACTGGCCTGAGCTGTGGCACGTGATGGTCACATTGAGAATGAAATGGCAATCCAATACCTACCTGCTCCGGACCTGGCGCCGCAGTGGCAGTGCAATCGACCAAGGGAAGTTGCTGGTGCCTAGAATACGGCTCTCTGGAATCATGGACTGCCAAGCCCAAATGCCTGACGGCGAAGAAGGGTCAGCGAGCAGGCGAACAGGTGAACAGGCGATCGGGTGAACAGGCGAGAGACAGACACTGGTACCAAGGTGCGCAACGGCCCAAACGCTGCGCGTCGCAAGGGGTGGGCGGGCAGCGGCACTTCCAGGCGATCGACGCGCCTAGCTTGTTGCTCTGTGTGTTCCATGTCTTCGTGCTGTTGATTCCTCGTCGCTCCATTGGAGGTCATACCCCTCCCTCCCTGCCTTGCCTGTGCCTGTTCTGTCTACAATGCTGGGCCGGTATCCGCATCAGACGTGTGATGGTCTGGATGAGCTCCAACAGGTTCAACGAGGACCAGACTGCCCTGAGCCGTCAGTGAAGATGCCAAATGGAGACACAGGCCAGAACGGAAGAAGGGGGACCTTCGCTCTGCCACCGGGGGCACGACGACCAGTGGCTTGGGAGGAACGCTTGGGAATTGATGGACGCGCACGCGCTCCAGGGCTTGTGCCTTTGGATAGTGGGGGACCCGCAAATACGAGAGTCACGTGGATAGAGACATGCGATGCCGCCAGAAAAAGGCGGAACCTGATGTACCTTCGATCAGGTCGGGCGCAGTTCGTACTGGCTCTAACACGGTCTACCAGCTGGCTCGTTAATTTCTGCTGGTGGTGGTGCCTCCCAGCGGCTCACCCCTGTCGCGCCCCTGGGCTGCCGCTGCCCATCTTGCCTCTGTCATGCCCCCCCTCCCCCTGCCCCCTTTTCCTGTTCCCCGTATTGGCAGTCACCACCCAGCACGTCCCTGTTTCCCTGAATCGAGACCTGGCTGCGCCTCCCTCTCTGTCCCCCCCCCCCAATTGTTCCCGCCTTCTCCGTCTCCTCGTCCACCTCATTTCTCTCCCTCCGCCCTCAACTCAGACCGTCCCACCTCCACTCCCTCCCCTCACCTCACACATCACCTCGCGACCACGACATTCCAGCCGGCGACATCCCTCGTCAATCCGTGTCAATCGCATTCCCCGAACCCAACGCTCGTTTTACCCCCCCAACCCCATCGGAACGGGGTCTGGTCTCACGTACCTGACCAACACCACCCGCTCCGCCAGTTCGTCGGCAGGACTACTCTCGCTCTCCTCCTCTTCCCTGCCTTTCGACCGACGAGCCTTGCAAATCACTCTGCACGAAAAGGAAAACCGCCCACGCAGGTACTCGTGCACCACTCTTCGTTCGACTGGTCGACCTCGCTCTTCACTTCCTCCCGCTTCTCTTGTAAATTATCACGAGAGCTAAGCGAAACCTACATCAACAAAGGAAGCCGTGTCAGCTCGGTCTCGCCTGGTTCGGAGACGTCTTCTACAACAAAACACTACAACTCGCGAAAATCACCAACGTCAATCGCTCATCCCGACCTCGATACCTCGCCAATACCGCCAACATGAGGTGGTCACCGCTCCTCCTTCTCTCGACGGCCTTGTCGCCCGTCATGGCCATCCGCAAGCTCGAGTCCAAGTCGCTCAACACGTGCCAGTCTGATTCCATGTTCTCGGCCAGTCTGTTCAACGTCGTCTTCACCCCCGACAACGGTACTGCCACTGTCAACATCGTCGCCGTCTCCTCCGTCCAGGGCAGCGTCGTCTTCGATATCTCGCTCAAGGCATACGGTTACGAAGTCATCCACCGCACCATCGACCCCTGTGACATTGACCTCGCTGGTCTGTGCCCCATGACCGCCGACAAGATCAACCTCAAGTTCAACATCGACATTGACGAGGAGGCCACCAAGGTCATCCCCGGTATCGCCTTCTCCATCCCCGATCTTGATGCCACCTTCCGCGCCTACCTCAACCTGACGGAAACCGGCGAGAGCGTTGCCTGTGTCGAAGCCGACTTCTCCAACGGAAAGACGGTCGACCTAGTCGGCGTCAAGTGGGCCACTGCTCTCATCGCCATTCTCGGTCTCATTGCTGCCGCTGTCGTCTCTGGCATGGGCCACACCAACGCCGCCGCTCACTTGGCCGCCAACACGCTGTCTCTCTTCGGTTACTTCCAGGCCCAGGCCATCATTGGTCTCACCGGTGTTCACCTGCCCCCCGTCGTCCAGGCCTGGACCCAGAACTTCATGTGGTCCATGGGTATCATTCGCGTCGGCTGGATGCAGGACGTCTTCACCTGGTACCAGCGTGCCACCGGCGGTGAGCCCAGCACCCTGTTCAACTCGATGAGGACCTCCTCCGTCCAGGTCACCAAGCGATCGGTCGACTTTACTGAGGGTGCCGCTGGCATCATGGCTCGTGCTGGCACGGCCCTGGCCAAGCGCGCCAACATTCAGCTCAGCTCCGGTTCCTTCATCGTGTACGGTATCCAGCGTGTCGCCTTCCGCGCCAAGATTGAGTCGACCAACCTCTTCATGACCGGCCTCACCTTCTACTGCATCTTCGCCGTCCTCACCGTTCTCGTCGTCGCTCTCTTCAAGGGTTTCACTGAGCTGTGCGTCAGGCAGAGGTGGATGAAGACCGACAGCTTCCTCGAGTTCCGCAACGGCTGGCTCACCGTCCTCAAGGGCATCTTGTTCCGCGTCACGCTCATTGGTTTCCCCATGATGACGATCCTCTGCCTCTGGGAGCTCACGCAGCGCGACTCGCCCGCCGAGGTCGTCCTCGCCATCTTCTTCTTCTTCGGCATGTTGATCACCCTCGGCTGGGCCTCGTTCAAGGTCATCCGCATCGCTCGTCGCTCCGTCGCCATGCACCGCAACCCGGCCTACATCCTCTACTCGGACCCCCAGGCCCTCAACAAGTGGGGCTTCCTTTACGTCCAGTTCCGCGCCTCGGCCTACTACTTCATCGCCCCTACTCTTCTCTACACCCTCATCAAGGGCATGTTCGTCGCTTTCGGCCAGCACGTTGGAGTCGTGCAGGCCATCGCCTTCATGGTCATTGAGGCCGCCGCTCTCATCGCCGCCAGTGTCCTGCGCCCCTGGATGGACAAGAGCATCAACTCGTTCAACATTGCCATTTGCGTCATGAACTTCCTCAACTCGGTCTTCCTCTTCATGATGACCAATGTCTACGCCGCACCTGACATTGTCCCCGGCGCCACCGGTGTCGTGCTGTTCATTGCCAACGCCGCCTTCTCCCTGATTCTGCTCATCATGGTCATCATCTCGAGCACCATTGTCTTCTGGCGCAAGAACCCCGATGCCAAGTACCAGTTCATGGCCGACGACCGTGTCTCTTTCATGAAGTCGCAGACCCAGCTGAACACGACGACTGAGCTCGACGCTCTGGCCGCGACGGCCCGTGGTGACAAGGCCGGCTACAAGTCGCAGCTTGACCTCGATGACGACAACGAGTCCATCTCGTCCGAATCGATGCGCCGCCGCATGGACGGCAATGGCCACCCGCTGGCCGCGCAGTCTCAGACGTCGGTCAACCGCATCGGCAACCCGCCGCGCTCTCCGGTGGACCCTTCGGTGCCTCTGTTCCCCGCCGACAACCGCGGCAGCCCCTACGCCTCGAGTCTGAGGTCGCCCAGCCCCTACGGCGGTGCGGGAAGCCAACAGAGCCTCCGCCAGCAGCACAATGCCAGCCCGGCGGGCTACAGGTCACAAAACAACGCCAGGTCAGTTGAACCCAGATACCTCGGATCGACGCAACATGTACTAACATGAAACAGCCCGTGGCAACGCGGTGCCGGCTACGAGCACTAAGCCCATCTTATCGTGTTTCATTATCATTTTCGAGTAGAGCATTTGTCCGAGAATCATCTCGGCCCTGAGTGCCTCGGCCACTAGCCCGGAGGTATTCACTCACGACCCCCACTGGCATGGACTCGCCTC